CTTTTTTTTTTTTTTTTTTGGCATGCTTTTAAATAGAGCCTGTTTTAAATGGGACTCTGCCTAAAAGAACAGATTTACCAAATGTCTGGTCTGGCCAATAAGGTCTTCTGTGGATACAGACTTCCTGTTGCCCTCTGGACTTGTAAAGCTAAATAGCCAATTACATCAATAACTCTTCCCCTGTGAGTAGAACTTCATTCTGCAGCTAAACCGCTTAAACATTGGACCAGTGACTGAGTACTGCCAAAGTCTGTTCTGACCAGCATTGCAGAGTTGAAATTCATGATGCTCAGAGTAGAGACCAGCAGACCAAGCCCCCTTGCCTTCCCTAAGAACATTAGGATACTGGAAGTGCCCACAGGAGCTCTTGAGTTCCAGTAGAGGCAACTGGACAGGAACCATGACCTGGATGGCTCTGGTTTCACCTCTTATAGAAGAGTGCAGAAAAGCTTCCCTGTTTCTGCAGATTTCTTCCTCTGTATTTTCTCCTACGGAAGTGCCATTTGTAAGATCTCAGATGTGAATCACCTGTTTGTGTACGATTCTGTTACTGTACAATGGTAATGTGGTTACTCCTTGATACAGAATTCCTTCTGTCCGTCCGTCCTTCTTTGCTTGCTTGCTTCCTTCCTTCCTTCCTTCCTTCCTTCCTTCCTTCCTTCCTTCCTTCCTCTATCTCTCTCTCTCTCTCTCTAGGAATCAAACTTGGGGTTCCCTTGAAAAATGCCTCTCTGGCACCACAGGGAAGTTATATCTTTTACATAGCAGAGACCACCATATGCCTTAAAGATCTAGGCAGGGTAATGGACAAGCCAGGAAATTGAGCAATGTATGAAACAGAATTTGTGAGTTAAACTCTCATTCCCGATTCCCGTAGTCCAGTCTCACACTACTTCTCCCACCCACGCAAAGATGTTTTAGGAGTCTGGACATCACAGCCCAAGAAAGGTCTTCAGCCGGAACTTTTTTGGCTGAAGCACCTAAAGCTAATTAAGAGAAAATATTTTAGGGTAGAAAAGAGAAAATAAATCCCCACCATCCATTGGGTAAAGACAGTATTTTCATTTAGAGGGTAACTTTTTTCTTTTATGGCTTCCTCTGGCTGTTGTTAGGTATTTTAATAATAAAAACAAAACAAAACATAGGCCTATGTATTACAGGGGATCTTAAAGAGTTCTTAGGTCTAAAATAAATGATGTTCATTCTCCCTAAAAGAGATCCTAGTCAAAGATGCTGCCAGTTCAAAGATATGATTAATATTTTTAGTATTCCCTTGGGTTGAGTTGGTAAAAGCAAGTTTAAAAGCAATAACAATTATTGCTTTTTTGGGTAGTAAAATGTATTTAATTTATGTATACTTTAGGAATGACTTAGAAATGCAATAAGAAGATTTCTAAAATGGTGGTATTTTTGTGTTACCTAAATTATTTTTGTCTTAAGTAATGTGTAATGGCAATTGTAGTAAAGCAACATGGTACAGGAAGCAAGCTAAAAATTACTCTGACCACTATAGGTAAACCAGTTATCAAGTAGAATATTCGTGAGTGGCCACAAGCCCATAAATATGTCTTTTTTTTTATGAAGGATAAAATAAATTTCAATAAATTGATTTTAAAAAACAGAACTGAGTTTGTCAAGTGTAATGCTGGTTTCGGTAGAATAGCATGTAATAATGTTGTCATTCAAATTTGTTTTTCAGAGTGCTTATGCTATACCGACTATGGCTTTTTCATTTCTCTGCCATACCTCAATCTTGCCCATATACTGTGAACTTCAAAGGTAGTACAGAATCCTGAAATAATCCAAATGTCTTAAATGTATCTTTTTATCTTTAGGGTTTTTAGATTGAATTGCATCCTTGTTTTTGAATCCTTTCCTCTCATCACTTTATTCTAAGTGTTAGTTTAAAAAGAAGCAAACAAAAGTCAAGGATGAATTTTGTCCAAATTGCTAATGTTTCCTAGAAGTATAACTTTTGTGTACTAATTTCAGATTATGGATTCCAGTGTGTAGTTCTTGCTGCATTAGGTCTTCAGTGATTGAAGAATCCTTTTAACTAGCTTAGAAGATACTTGTTGCTGTAGATCTTAAATTCATATCATAAATTCTACATTTGCCATTTTTGTCTTTTAGCCCCTCAAAGAGAAGAATGCAGAATGTAACCAATACAGCAATTGCTTTAAGTTTTCTCATTTACTTTATAGCTGCACTCTTTGGATACCTCACTTTTTATGGTGAGTATATCCTTTAGTTATATCTGGAAAAATAAATTATTATGTAGATAATCTCATTTCTCACTACTCTCCTTCTGACTTTCATTATCCAGGCCACCAGATTGTAATGCAGTATTGTTATAGCTCTGGGACCTTAAAGAATTGGCTATTTTCTTGTATAAAGGTGCTCAGCTGTGTATGGTAGCGCTCACCTATAATGCTGGCACTCTGAGGGGCTGAGGCAGGAGGATCAGAAGTTCAATCCCAGCACTGGCTACTTGGTGACTTAGAGAGAGCCTGTCTGAAAGTGAAAAAAAAAAAAAAACTGAGGATATAGATCAGTGTGAAGTCTCTGGTTTTGATCCCCGGTATCACACACAAAACAAAGGAACAAGAACAGAAGATATAGTTTAGATTAATGACTTCATATGAAATTTTTTTCTCAAACACCTATGTAAAAATTCAAGTTTAGGAACATTGATATTTTGCTAAAAAAATGATTTTGGATTTTGAAAATCGTGTATTTGATATATTAGACTCTAAGAAGTTTGGGGTTGGGAGAATAAATCATCTTAATTGTAGAAGAACAAGTTGAAAAAGGAAAGAGTTGTACTCTGGACTCTAATTGCCTACTTAGATGTCAAATGTCTCCCTTTCATTAAATTTAGTTATCACAGGATTCATCATATGTGCATTCTATGATGCACCATGACCTTTCTTCTTAATTCTCTTAGGATACTTTTAAATCCATAATACAAGTATAAAATTCCTCCCTGCTATTTTTAAAAAGTTTTCTCTTTTTATAAGAACTTCAGGAAAAAAAACCCTTGAAAGTCTAGAGCAAGAAAAAAATCATAAGCTCTCATTTAATTTGTAAATATTTTAATTTGCAAACAAACATATTATAACACAAATTATATTGAGTTTGTCAAATTCCTGATACAGTTTTAGGTTTATGAAGGCGTTTATAACAACTGTGCAAGTAAATGGCTACTATTACTAGAGTAATACTTAGCTGTTATGACTCATTTTTTGTTTGATGGCCTTGTGAGCATTTTTAAGGTTTTCAACACCCATAATGACTGGCAGTGGTACTTACCTCCCAGAGTTTTCCCAAGTCTGACAAGTTGTTAGACAATGTCTACTTGCACTGCTACATTTCCTAAGCCCTTTGGAAAGAGAATGGGCTTTGAAATCCAACAAGTCTGGTTCATATAACTTTTGTAATTTAACTATATGACCTCAAATGAATTACTTCATCCTCACTCTCTCATCTGTAGTATGGGGGTAACTGCATAAGGCTGCACTGAGACAGAAATGAGATATGTCAGATACCTGCTGCACTGTCTGGCACGTAACAGTCCTCCATAGATGAGAGCTACTGCTAATGGTGTGTTACTGTTATTATCAGTATTGTAATTGTTTCATAATTTCAGGAACTTCTATTGTGTGTGTGTGTGTGTGTGTGTGTGTGTGTATTATTGGTACATTTTAGGTATATAATACAGTTACATTCATGATTGGGATCTTGTATCTTTATGTGATGTTATCTTGGTTCTTATTTTTTACCCTTACCCCTGCCCTCCCTTCACCCCCTCCACCCTTACCTATTTACAAAGTCTTTGTTTCCGTTTTTTTCTTTTCTATTATTTTTTCATTTCCCTTCTTACTTTTCCCCTACCCCTACCACTTCCCCTACACCTTTAGACCTTTTCTTCCTATTACACAATATCAATTAATACATTTTGATCCTTATTTACACTTTTAGTTTATCACACCAGAGAAACCTTATGGTATTTACAAATGTGTGTCCTATTAATTTCACTGAAGAGTATGTCCTCAATGTGCATTCATTTAGCTATAAAGGTCTCTAGTTTCTCGTTCTTTATGGCTCCATTTTATAAAATAAACCACATCTTCTTTATCCAGTCTCCAACTGACGGGCAATTGGGCTGTTTCCAAGTTTTAGCTTCTACAAACTGTGCACTTCTTACTATTTTAAATAAAACCATTAAAATGTGGTAAGTTTTTAGTATATGCTGTATTGCCATGGACTTTCCAGAGTGTGTAAAAATTAGAATTGCTCTTTATAGTCCTTTTCTTACTAAATCTGTTATTAGGCAGTCCTGTTAATCTAAATCTGCTTTTATATTTTTATACTGATCTAGATACTTAATAGAGCTTTGTGTACACCATCAAGAACATTTCCATTGAGAGCGTGGTGGCCTACTGGACACACTAAAAAAGTAAAAACGCATTGTCCAACTTTTTTGATCATCACTAAAACAGTTCTTGAAATATTTGGGTTCCATTTTTATCGTTGAGTTTGTTAATTTTTATATAGACTTTCAATGAGATTTTTCTATATTAATAAGCTAATATAACCATGCCTCTTGTGATTCAAGTAGATTTAGTATAGCAGAATTATAATTAAAATTTTAATATTAAAATTGTCACTTGGCACAAATACTACTGGTTATAAAAATTTGGGGGACCAGAATTTTGTTTTGAGTTTCAGAGTTGTGGAGATTGTAAAATATTTGCAGAGAGTTTTGTGCTAAAAATGTTTTGGATTTTGGAGTATTTTACATTTTCTATTTTCAGATTAGGGATACTTGATCTGTGTTATCAGGGATCTTCAACATTGAGAAAAAAATCCAAATATGCCTTCTTCTCCTTCCTGTAGATAAGTAGAACCACCTGGAAAAAGCCTCAAGTGTCCTACTAATATGCAGAGTGACTGAGAAATAGTCACATGAATTATAAGGTACTTAGGAGCTCTATTATGTTATAAGAAAGAAAGCTTGGACTGAAAGGAATATGGAGCATGGAGGGCTGTTAATACATTTATTGAGCTAATATTTAAGTAAATGTCAGGTACTTTATATCCATTGCCCAACTTAATCCTTAGAACTCCACAAGGTGAGTGTACATTCATTTAGGTCACGCATTTAGGCTCATACCTGAAGCTAATTAATAATGGAGTTGAGACTTAAATCCTATTTTATCTCTCTCCAAATCCAATGCCGTTTTGTTTTTTTTTTTACTATGCTGCCGCCTCAAAAATGATATCGTTACACTGTATCTGCTAAATGTTGTACGGATGTCCTTCATTCTCAAGTTTTTATTAGAATAATCTTTTCGAAAAACCTAGCTGACTTAAGCTCTTGGCATATCTCTGCCTGTCTTTATCTACCCATTCATCCATCGGTATAGTTGCTTAAATACAAAAGTTACAGTTTTACCATATAAATAAAATGTTTCCTAGGTAGCGATTTGCCTTGTTATCAGTTACACCTGTTAGGTTCTCTGACATCCCTTCTCCATAACGCAAATTCTTCACAGTATCTAAGCTTTATATAATGGAGAAATATTCATCTAAGAAAAGTCATGTAGGGAATAGGTAGATGATAGCTATAAAGACAGACAGAGTGGGCTGGGGCTTTAGTTCAGTGGTTCCACTGCCTGCCTCACAAGCACAAGGACCTGAGTGAGTTCAATCCCTGGTATCAAAAAAAAAAAAAGAATGATAAGAAAGTCATTCTTTCTCCAAACACAGAAGATGCAGATGTTGGTTTGTTCTTCATAATGGTTCTTTTCGTAATCAGAGAAATTTTGTGTCTTTCTATCAGAATGGCAAATGGTCTCATTCATGTTGAAAAAATGTGCTGACTGAGTCTGAGAGCTTATCATAAAGGCTAGCATGAAATTAAGCTTCGAATTGTTTATTTTGTTGAGCAACTGAAGCCCACAGAGTGGCTTGAAGTGTCCTCATAGTATTAAAAGGCAGCTTTCTTGAATTCATCCCTTGTTTGACTGTGTATTGACTGTGTATTGACTGTGTATCGCAGCCTCCAACTTAGGGACATGTATAACATGCAGCGGTCACATTTTGATCCTTTCTGAGATTTGTAGAGATTTTTCTGAGTCCAGAGAAGAGTGCTGCGCTGTGTCCCTTACACGTAATCAGGTTTTCATCCTGGGAAAGTAGAAAGTGCATAGATTTTAATTTTGTGATCTCACTTTTCAAGCTTCTGAGGCTGTTTGGCATCCTTTTATCCAGAGCTCCCAAGGCTTAGTTAATAACTAATTTTTGTCAGATTAAAGAGACCTGTAAATATGTACCTCGATTAATAGTCCTGGCTCTAATTACAGATGTTAAAGCATTATGTGGTCGGGAAGAGAAAAATGTTCCTCTGGCGAGGAGGCCAATGCTCAAATGTTGCATAATAACCAGACCAGTTAAAGTCTGCAAGGTTGTTAAGCAAGAAGTGTTAATAGCTCATTTTATGATTCAGAAAATGGAAATAAAATAGTGTGCCATATATCTCCAAAGACACAAGTATGTCATCGATTTGGAAATAGAATCCAGATTTCTTGGCTCTTCTAGTCTCCTACTTAGTCCTTTAGTCTCATACTATGTCAGTTTCATAATATCTCAGACAATTCATTCTTCTCCTATCTCCATTATCACACCTGGTTCAGATTCTCATTCCCTCTTGGTAATTATGACAGTAACCTTCTGCTTTTGTCCTTCTTCGGGGATTCTCCTTCTAGTCCATACTTTTGCTTCGTTCTGATCATGACAGACGCCTCTTCTAAGTCATGATTGCATATCTGTGGCCTGCCAGATAGACTAAACCGCGTACAAAGCTGTTTGAGTAGATGTTCGGTACATCCCCAGCCCTCTGACTCAGCACCACCTCTGCCACCCTGCATGTTGTACTTCAGCCCCAGGACTGCCCGTTGGATCACTCCTCTTCTCAGCTGCACATCCCCTTTGCTACTTCAGGGCTTTTGCTTGTGCCGCGCCGTGCTTGGAGAGACTGCCGCATCTTAGACTCTGTGCACGTACGCTGGCTCATTTAATGTTCTCAGTAACTGTAGTGCAGTGATGGCAAAGCTTCTAGAGATTTCAGTGATAGCAAACAGCCCCTGAGGCACACGTGCCAGAGTTCACCACCACTGCTGGAGATCAGTGTATCATTACCCCCATTTTAAAGAAGTAGGCCCTGAGACTCAAGAGGTGCTAGTAAGAATTGGGATTTGAGCACTGCTGTGTGGTCTTAGTCTTTGCTTAGGCTTCTTCTGCCACTTCTGTGCATTTATGTCTGTCCACCTTCTACAATGTCTGTACATAAACCTCTCTTCTCCCCTTTAAATGTTATGGTTCTTGAAAACAGATATATCTGATTTATTTTAAATTCCCCCCAAAGCATCCTTTCTAAAACCATATTCTCAAACTGAAGTGCACCATTCTGATTTAAGTGTATAGGGACACAGGTGCAGCGTTCTTAAGCACTGTTGTTCTTTTTTTTTCTTCTTCTTATTGAGTTTATTGGCACTTTTAAAATATACAGAACAGTTACATTCATCATTGGGATCTTGCACCTCACATGACAGGTCTTGGGTCTCATTTTTTTCCCCAGACCCCTGTCCTCCCTTCACCCCCTCCAACCTCCCCTATTTACAAAGACTTTGTTTCCATTTTTTCCTTTTCTCATATTTTTTCTTGTCCCTTATTTCTTTTCCCCTACCCTTCCTACTTCTCCTACACCTTTAGCTCTTTTCTTCCCATTTCACATTATCAGTTATACCATTTGGATCTTATTTACACTTTTAGTTTTTCACACCAGAGAACCATTCGGTGTTTTCACATGTGTCTCTTATTTATTTCACTTAGAGTATGGCCTCCATATGCCTTCATTTTCCTATGAATGACTCTAGTTTCTCATTCTTTATGGCTGAGTAGTACTCCATTTTATAGAAAAACCACATCTGCTTTATCCAGTCTCCAACTGATGGGCAATTGGGCTGTTTCCAACTTTTAGCTATTAACTGTGCCACTATAAACATGGGTGCGCATATGTCACTGTGGTATGATTCTTTTAATTCTTTTGGAAAGATACCCAGCAGAGGGATGGCTGGGTCAAATGGAACCTCTAGTCCTAGCTCTTTGAGGTGTCTCCATATTGATTTCCACAGTGGTTGCACCAGTCTGCACTCCCACTAACAATGGAGAAGGGTTCCTTTCTCCCCACAACCCCGGCAACATTTGATTTCTTGATATCAGCCATTCTTTCTGGGGTGAGGTGGAATCTCAGTGTTGTTTTTATCTGCATCTCTCAAATGACCAGTGATGTGGAACATTTTTTCATATATTTATGTGCTGCTTTTACTTTGTCTAAGAAATCTCTGTTCATTTCAGATGCCCATTTTTGAATCAGGTCTTTAAATTTGGGGGCCTTTGTTTTTTTTTTTTTTTTTTTTTTTAGTTCTTTATATATTCTAGATAGTAGTCCTTTGTCTGAGGAACATCTGGTAAAATTTTTTCCCCACATTGTAGGTTGTCTCTTAGCCCTGTTGGTGGTTTCTTTTGCAGAAGCACTGTTACTCTTTGAAGTAAGCCATTTCCCTAGCACTTCTCTCTTTTATAAAAAATGAATGCATGGGTGACACATTGATGAAGCTGATAAAATAAACAAAACTAAATTTCTAAAAAATACTGTGGTGTTGAGGGAAAAGGTAACAGCTTGAGCACCCGAAAACTCAGGAAGTATTGGACTGCCAGTTCTGCCCTTTCATGTGTATGACCTCAACCAAGTGATTTAGGCATACAGATTTTAACCTACCTATCACATATTGTTATCCCAGGAACCACATTCACCAAGCATGTGGGAACACTTTGCAAACAAGTTGAGAGTTTCAAACCCTCAGATTACAGAGAAGTTCTGAAGAGATCTTTTAAAACCATTGTCATAATTTTGGAGATTCTGCCTTTTCTGGTTTCTAATTTTATGGAAAGGGGGAACAAAGGATTGTAGGTTTCAGGAAGGTATTTATGAAACGTCTTTGTGTTTCATAGGGTAGCAAAAAGGCCAGAGATGAATTTGCATAATGGGAATCCAAGTCTACGGAGATCTATTAGTGCAATGGAAAATAATTTTGCTATTATTGACATCTTAGTATGTAGTTTATAATATGGTCCTTATTATTATTTTTTATTTACAGACAAAGTGGAGTCAGAGTTACTACAAGGTTATAGTAAATACTTGCCACATGATGCTGTTGTCATGACTGTGAAGTTATGCATACTATTTGCTGTGCTTTTGACAGTCCCTCTAATCCACTTCCCTGTAAGTACACTTAACGGTTTTGTCGCTTAGTATAGTGGCTCCCTAATATGGCAACACTAATTCTTTGCAGACTAGAACCTTTGAATCACATTGAGGCTTGTATATCTTATTCATTTGTCAAGTGATTGATCAAAGACCTCATACTTGTATATGGCCCCATGAAAGCACAAAAATAACAGTGAACCACGAAGCTAATTTGTGCTTTTGGAAAGTTAGTTTAGACTTACGCTCTCCCACAGCATTGTTTCCAATTTAGAGGCTGTAGTTGTAAAGTTTTGGGGGTTTATGTATTCTGCTTTCAAAAGAATGTGCACAAAGAGGAGAAAGTCCAGTCAGCAGAAATAAGCTCCTCCTGGTTTACTGTGGATTTATTTTTCACATAGACATGCTAGTTTAATCTTAGTCAAGATGCTTTACTTGCTATAATTATAATTTAAAGAGCAGAACAAATTTTTGCATCTTGTTCCTGTATGTAGGGATCTTAACAGTTTCTGAGAAAATAGAAGCAAGCCTTCAGGTCTAAGTGCTTCTCAATGAATGTCATGAATCTCTAGCAGTGAGGGTTGTTTCTGGGGTTTTTTGGTCTTGTTTTGTTTTGTTATTTTGTTTTGTTTCTTAAACTGGAAAGATTTTTTTTCCCTCTCCCAGAGCCTACTGCAGTGCCAAGATTGCAGCAGGGGCAGGGTAAACTTGTGTGAATGTGACCACCTGCTGCTGGCCTTCACACGGGAAAGTGTAGTGAACTATTTTCTATATTTACATGCTGCAAAGCAGACAATATAAAATAAAATAGTAAGTGGTATTTCTTTCCCATGGACTGATTTTTTTTTTCTGTTTTAAATCATTTCTTTTTGTTGTTGTTGAACATAGTGAAAATGCTTCTTTGGGGCTGGGGATGTAGCTCAGTAGCACTGCACCTGCCTTGCAAGAACAAGGTCCTGAGTTTGATCCCTGGTACTGAAAAAAAAAGAAAGAAAAAAAATGATTCTTTGATATTTCATCACACAGTGTTATTCTTGGTAATTTTTAAAATTATACAACCTAAAAAATTGCCAGTAAAATTTTTTTCTTAAAGCCAAATAATTTGTTTGGAGCTCACACAGAAAGGCTTATGTGTATAAACACTTTATAATACTAGGTTATGCTGTATTTTTGGAATCCAAATAGTTTGGAGTATAAGAATATCATGGTTACTATATATGTGTTTCTCTAAGCAAATATTTTGCCTTTGATACTTCCTCTCTGCTTAAATCTGTTTCATTTTCTCTTAAACAGGCCAGAAAAGCTTTAACAATGATGTTTTTCTCTAATTTTCCATTCTCATGGATTCGCCACTCTTTGATCACTCTAGCACTCAATATTATTATTGTTTTACTTGCAATATATGTTCCTGACATCAGAAATGTATTTGGTGTAGTTGGTAAGTTTTCCATTTAAAAAAATTCACATAGTAAAATTGTTCCAGTGCCTCACATCTAAATCCAACAATATCTTCCTTTTCTTTTCTCCAACTTACAGGTGCCAGTACATCAACATGTTTGATTTTTGTATTTCCAGGACTGTTTTATCTTAAACTTAGCAGAGAAGATTTTCTCTCATGGAAAAAGCTTGGGGTAGATTGTTTTTGTTTCTTTTAAGATTTGTATTTTAAGAGATGATTTGGCATTTTATATTACTTTACCTATGTTGAAAAGTCAGTATATTTTAAAATATAAAATATATTATTGACAAGGGAAGTTTAGAAAACATTTTGGTTACTTATCTTTTTCCCCCCTACAGGCTTTTGTTTTGTTCATCTCTGGAATTTTGGTTGGGAATTTTACTTTGGCTCTTGTCATATTTGATTGGATCAAGAAATGAAAGAGATATTTTCCTCCTTCTTATGAAGAATAATTTACCTCGTTCAATCCCCGGTACCAAAAAAAAAAAAAAAAAGAATAATTTACCTCTATAAGCAAAAAAGAATGATTCTAGAAGGTACCTTGGATGAAAAATATATTTTTATGAAAATCATTAGAAAAGAACAGAAGAAAATGACAATGTTTACGGGAAAGCAAGAGTATAGTGGTTTTAATAAAAATAAATTTAAGATGTTTGTAAATATACTGAGTCGATTTTTAATTGTTTGGAACTTTAAAAATCAATAGACTTTATCTTTTAGAGTAGTTTTATGCGTTCAAGTCTATTGAGAAGATACAGAGAACCCCTGTACCTCACCTCCAGTGTACCGTTTCTCCTGTTATTAGCATCTTTTATGATTGCGTTCCATTTGTTACACTTGATGAGCCCGTATTGGAACGCTGTAACTTAAGTCCATAGTCAACATTAGGGTTCATTTTGGCATCCCCTGATGTTTTCACTGTCTCCCTGGTTTTGCCTTTTCTAGAATACCATATATTTGGGATCACACGGAAGATAGAGGGATGCTTGGCAGATTAGGTCAAGGGCCTGACTACACTTGGATAAGCCTCGTTGGAACATAGAGGACAAGGAGTAATAGTCTGCTTTCCTGATCTCAGAGGCCCAGCAATAGTGACAATTGCATACGTTCATTTTCGCACACCTGCCAGGTTTGAAAATGGCACCAGAAGCCACCCACCAATGACAAACTGCACCTTCCCTACACCCACCAAAGGCTGCACCTCCATGTGTCCTCCCAGGAGCCCCTCTCTGCTAGCAAGAGCTTTTCTTCATTCTTTCTAATAAACCACACCCCATTCTTTACCCCACTGTTGTTTATAGACCTCTTTGGTCTGCAGAGTGAGAATCCAAACCTAGAGAAGGAATAAATCGGTTACAGTACAGTGTATTAAGTGTATGTAATGAATTGATTCCTTGCTTGTGGGTTAATGTCAGTATTACTAATAACAAAGCAGATTATTCTATTTGGATTTTGCCCACCCCCAAATTTTATCCAAAAACTTTTGGAAATTTTCTCTGGTGTTCATTATGAGATTCTCCACTGTTGTGTACTGTGCAGACTCAAAAGTTCTCAGAGCTTTTCAATTTGTCACTAAAACGTGAATCCTTATTGACAAACAATCAAATATTGATCCTTTATATCCTTTTTTTGTATGGAGGTTGCAAATTATTGCAGTTTTCCCATTGACATGGCTAATCTCTCTTGGCAGCCAGAAGGAAGGGCTTTTCTGCCATGAATATTCTATGTAAAGGGCCATATGGCTGGCAGCCTACCTAAGCTAGGGTCTATCAGTAAAACGTAACCCTACCCTGGTCCACATGTAAAGTAGGGAATTACATGCAAAGTGCTCATTTTCATGTATGGAAATGCACACTGTTGCAGGTCCCCTCATGCCTCCCACTAAGGCAGTTGGCTGAAAAATTGACAATTGAGCTTCCCTTTTGAGATCAAAGAGATACTTCTTTGGCAACTTGAGAACACTATGGTGTAGTGTGAGAAGCCCAAGTGAGTTAGAAAGATTTGGATTCACATCTCAATGAAAAGCATACTCCTTAAACTTCTTAAGCCTTCTGCTTCCAACTCTGTAAAATGGAGTTAATACTTATGCAGGATTGTGTAAAAGGATTAAATGGCCATCTGTATACTAGATGCAGACCAAAATAGATAAGCTTTCTTAATAGTTTAAATGTTTACCCTCTTTCTCTGATTTTTATCAGAACCAGTAAAATGAAATTACTTTCAACCAAGGATATGAAAACTGAGTGTTTTCATCTTCCATTTTGCACAACCACTATCTTCAGAATCTCTGGGTAGCCTTCACTCATAGGGAGTTGGCCTCAAAGCACTGTTGTTGGTGCTTTCCCACAGCACCTATATGTGCCCTCCTGCATGGTCGGGGGCACAGCCAGACCACGCCACCCATGGGGCCTCCATGGGCTTCAGGTCCGACACAGCCAATCAAGTTGATGAGCTACTACTTATGTCTTCTTTTTCTGTGAATGAAATGTGGATCCAAATACACACAGGTGTTCTGACACTTGAATAAATTAACTCCAGTAATACCAAAATAATCCTAAATCTATAACAGATGCAAGGATGTCCCCTGGGGCACATGTCAAGTGTGATGACAGCTAGGCATCAATTAATACTTTGTCACCTGCTCGTGAGATACTGTTATTAGAGGTTTGACCAAGGGGACAAATAGCCTGTGGAATGAACACTCAGCATAAAACTGAGTTAACATCAAGAAAAATGATTCGTGGAGGTGTTCATTTTTATTTTACTTGAATGTTCTGCCTTATCTAATTGCCTGTTTGGAGGTCACAGCATTCTCTTTGAATTTGGAAGAAGTTAAGAAGTTGGCTGGTGAGAGCAGGGCCCCCGTCACTGGAATTACCAAAAAACCTTGTTCAAGTGCCCCTCAGCATGTTTTTCTGGAAAATATGGGCCTTCTCATTATGGGCTTAATGTTCATAATTTATTAGGTAATAACTATTTAAAATAAAACTAAAGCACAAAATATACTTTTCTAACATTTGGAGACTTGCTTGCTTAAGTTAAAAGACAAAATGCCAAGACTAAATTACTTTCATATGTTGAGAGTGAATGTTTAAAAATTGGTCTTTTTTTTTTTTTCAACAGAATGTTTACTCTTGAGCTTAGCATTTAAATGGTTAAAACAAGCCTTTGAAGTTAACACTCCATTAAGATGAATGGGGGTAATTCACACCTCTGCTGGTGCTGTATTATTTCAGTCTGGCTGCAGAGAAAATAGGACAGCAGTGGGTTGATTTACAGTGTAAAGGCCCTTTAAACACCCACAGCCTGGAAATCTTTGTTGTACCCCCTCTCCTTTCAGTCTGGAAGCAGGATCTGAAATTTGCCACAATCTAAGTAAACATTTGAGGTTTTGAAAGTACCACAGGTTCTCTGTCATCTGGCAGTCCTGTCTGGTTTCTGGTGGGCACCAGTTACCATATCAACCCAACTTCTCTGGCTTTGTTTGATCCTATATGGGAATGTTTCTTCCTACCACAGCGTTTGATAAGCTTGAGTTTAGTACCCTCTTAAATTCACCAATAGAAAATCAGCAATCCATTTTCAGGTAAATTTTATATGTGTTTTCAATGGGTTATGAACTAATCATTGGACTTTATGTGCTTCTACAGTAAAAACAGCTCATTTTTGCAAAATCTTGTTTTCTTTATTTGCCTGTATATAAAGCATCTATGTTTCCAAACTTCCATATTCTTGGGGTTTGTGCATTGAGCAGGGATCATTCAGGATGGACTCATTTCTTTCTCAATGTGTCCTTTGTATTTGTAGTACAGTATTTTGGATTTGAAAGTTTTCCACCCATTGGAAGAGGTACAGCCATTTGACCCTGAAAGAATATTTTAGAGCCTAGCAGTGAGGTTATCTCAATACAAATAAAATGGTGCACGTTGTGTGGGGTGTTAATGAATTTGAAAGACCTCTTTAATGTGAACAGATTTTTCTTCTCTTTCTCCATCCTGCACATTTGCAGGATCCAGTTACCTCAGAATCTATGGATAGCTGAGTGTGGAGAGTTTTTCTGCTCTGAGCTGTCAGCAGTACTGACATTGCCAGTATACTATATGGAGACAGAAGATAGGTGCTAGAAACAAACCTCCTCCAACTGAGTTAATGTGTTTTTCTTCTTGGCATATTGACAGTACTCTGTGGCTTCGTTATAATTAGCCCAATGTTAAACTTACTTTGCTTCCTCTACATTTGTCTGCCTGGCTTTTGGATGTCACAATATTTGACCTTAGCATGTCTCAGAATATCTCATAGTACTGGGAACTTTGCTTTTCTAATCTAAATGCACTATTTATCCTTCTGCCACTGTTTCCAGTTGTCTTGCATAATGAGGTAGAAGGTGAGAGCTTTATTCACCTGTGGGACAAATATGGGTGGAGAGGGAAAGCCATTGCCAAGGTGGGGGTTGGGGGCAGATGGCTGAAAATACCTTTGTGACGTAGGGGCTCTAAAGGGGAAGACAGAGATGGTTCCTCACTTGTTTGAATGTAGGAACAGTGGGCTGATGCATAACACAAGCCAAAGGGTTGGCTAATTCATTCAGCTAATATTTACTGAGCACATATGTCCTTAGGCTGCAGAGCTGCACAAGACATGCATCTCATCTGAAGACAGCTCAGATATAACTTTGATATTTCTGAATTAACCTTGTCAGATGGATTTGATAAGTGAATCTGCTTAACAAGGGATAATTTTGGAGCCAGACTGAACCTCTGTTCCAATCCCAACTCTACCTTTCTTATTTTGAATAAATCCGCTAAACTCATTGAGCTTTTTTCAGTATTTGCATTTTCTCTCACCCAGAGGAAATACACTTTGTTTCTTCAAGCTAGGTTGTGTGATGTTTGGGGAAAGCCTGAGCAAGCTGTTAAACACTGACTGTATGTGCACCTTGACTGCTTGAGTATTCAGATCACAGGGATTGCAACCATATACTTCTCTCTTCTCTGCCGGCTTTGGCCACTGAAGAAGAGCCTGAACAGAAAATGATATTCCAGGGACTAGCGCTGCAGCTCAGTGATAGAATGCCTGCCTAGAATGGGTGACCCAGGGCCAGGAAACGGAAGGAAGGAAGGAAGGAGCGAATGAGGGGGAAAGGAAACGAAGAAATATCTTGGCCAATCCATTTATTCTCACTATTAATGTATTCTTCCCCAGAAAAATAATTTTATTGGTTTGTAATAGTATCAACATTTCTGACTTCATATCACTTTTTTTTTAGCAATAACATTATGATTTTGGAACATAAAGTATGTGACCAACAGAAGCTGCAGGTCCTTTTTCAAGTGAATGGTCACATTCCTAGGACACTGTACTTAACGCTATTCATTTACATGTTTAAGTATGAAAGGATACATACCCATACTGTGGTGTTTTAGATGATAAATATTTCCTAAAGCCATGTGTTAAAGGGTTCATCCCGGCTCAGTGCCCATGGGAGTTGACGGAA